TATGATGATGATTTGTTGTGTCGTTTAATTATACATTGCTTGATTATTTGTGATTTATTGTTATTGCTTGATCACGCCCTTTTTAGCAGGTTTAAAGGGAATTTGTACTTGAAATCACACCAAATAAGATTACTGATAATTTGATTTAGGGTTAATATGATTTAAATTCAAGTGATCACCAATAATAGATTTATTTGTGCATTAATAATCAACCAATGTAGATTAAATATTCTTAGGATTAATTTATTGTATGTATGTTGATCGGAAAGCGCACAAGAATATCATAAGAATTAAGTAGAGGCCAATTTAGGGCGAGTTCAATCTCTTTTAGGTTGGATTCGTACCGTCATCCTCGAATATCCAGTTATGGTTCTGAACCACTATGGAGTTAGCAATCTCCGTGATCGTGAATGGGGTGTAACCTTCACACCCGTGAACGGTTTACAAGTTCCTAAAACTTGTTGACGACTTTTTTATCTCTAACTTCCTTCCCTTTGGACGCCACCATGCCTAAAAGCATGATCACAGTGGGGCTCAAAGTTGATGTTTGAAATATTCCCTACAGTTTTTGGCGACTTCATTTGGGAGGATTTCTAATTTTGATTCCTAAAATTTTTTTTGGCAATTGACTTTAGAATGAGTGGATGAGACTTGAAAGATTCTAGATATTCATGTGCGTAATTTTTATTAACATTGTGGCATAAGCATAAAAAGGTCCGCATTGGAAAGACAATCCGAAATGCGTAAAAATCATAAGATTTTTACACGTAGGAAAAGCCGGAAATATCTTTCACAACTAGAATCGAAAAGATACTGCGAAAATAAAAAAATTTGAAGAGCACAGAAAACTGTCGCGACGCGCAGGAATTGTCGCGAGACGACAATGTCTATCATAGCTCTATCGCAACGCGATAGGGTTATCGCTGCACGATAGACCCTTTTTCTCGCGCCGAGTTCTTTCGACATCGAGCCAGGAATCTGCCTTCTTTTTTTGACTGATTCTAGTACTGTCTCAATGATTCTACTTCCTAATTGAGTTTTTCCATCTTTTCTGTACCCATATGTGGTCTACATATGGTCTTAGCCCCTGGGAATTCACATTCCATCTACCCTTTTTCCATCGAACGCTCCGTGCAACGACAGGTACATCTGAGTTTGTGAAGTCACCAAACCATGGAAGCAAGTCTAACTTGCGGGTCCCATCCATATGTGCCAACCCTTCCAAAGGTAATGCTTCTGCACGATGCATCCGGACTCATAACCATGGACCCTTTTTAGACACCATAATTCTTGAATTTTAGAGAACTAGATGCATGGTTAGGTTGCAAACTCATTGCATCATATTTTGACTACTTGATTACTTGTGCATACTTTACTTGTGGTAAACTAACCTCTTGTGTTGACTTGTTTTTTGTAAATAAAGTCTTAATTAACTAACCAATGACTAAAAGGACTTTGGTTAACTAATTAGAACTTATAAATTTTAAACATACTAACCAAGGACATGTTTTTCTTATTTAAGCCTCTTCTTTTTTTATTAAGTCAAGTCATAATTCTTTTTTTTTTTAGTCAACCCGGATTTTTGTTCCCGTATCCTGCACAAGCGTCAACTTGTTTTGGTCATAGCCGGAGTTTTAGAAAGAGTTACGAGTCGTACAACCTATGGATCTGTAGCCCCGGGTATTATCTTTCATTTGGCATTAGTTTCGTCCCTATAAGAGTCACAGATCAAAACTTATGACTGAAATACTACAGCCTATCCAGTTTATGAGTTCTTTTAAGCGTCCAACCTTTTTCTTACTTCTTTTCGTGTCAAGCTAGTCTTAGGCAATCTTCTACTTTTTTTAGTCCTCTAATCCGTGTCAACTCGAATAAAATAAGATTTTAGATTTTTATTGTTATTTATTTATTCCCATGAGTCCTAACTTTAACATGTGTTCTTTGTCTTTGATTATGGTTTAATCTTATTTATGACTAACGTTTGCCTATGGACTGATTTCACCTATTAAATAGCACAGACATTAAAATTGGACAAAATTAATCAAGTTAGTTTGTCTATCTTTTAGTCTTTCGGCTATTTGGTCCTACAGTCCTTCGTTTTTTCACACCATTCTCATGTCTTGTCACATGCACTACTAGAAAACAGGCCATTTCCGACGGAAAAATTTCGTCGGAATCACCCTGAAATCCGTCAGAAAACCCGTTTCCGACGGAAATTCCGTCGGAATAGGTTGTCGCAAAACAGTTTGTTGGAAAAACAGCCTTTTCCGTCGGAATAGCGTTTTCCGACGGAATTCTAACGTCGGAAGAGGAGTTCCGGCCGGAAACTTCCGACGAAAATTCCGTCGGAAACAGCATAAAAAAAATATAAAAAAAAAACCAGCACCTTTAGCCACCCAAAAACCCTTTTCAACCCCACCCTCACCCTAACGCACCCAAACTTACCCAACAACCGTAACAACACCAACCACCCACCCTGCCTAACCCTAACCCTAAACCCTAACGCACCCAAACTACCCCAACAACCGTAACAACACCAACCAAACCCACCCTGCCTAACCCTAACTAAATAGTTGCCACCCTACCTGCCAAGAAAGCCCACCACCGTACCACACCCACCTAGACCACCATATTTCACCCACCCCACCCCACCCCACCTAACCCTAACCAAACCCACCCCACCTAACCCTAACCAAACCCACCCCCATCCCCACCCAGACCACCCCCACCCTGACCACCGTACTTCACCCTCCCCCTTAACCCTAACCCACCCACCACCACACCCGCCTAGACCACTGAAAAAACCGAAAATATTCAGAAAAACGCAATAAAAAAATTGAATATATAAATTTAAAAAACCAGATCTAACCCACAAATCGAACAAAAACAGATCTATTATACAAATTGAAAAATACAAAAGTAGAAAAATCAAAATCCGAAAAAAAACGAAAGAACACAAACTAGATTTACAAATCTAAAATCAAAATAAAAAAAAAAAAAATACGAAAGATTCAAAAAAATGTTCTTCAAATTTGTTGATGTCGGTGGTGGTTGTCGCGGTTGCTCGGTTCTTGATCTCGAAATATCATATCAAAAATCCCGGTGAAGCTGGTGGTTGTTGCGTCGTTGTCGTTGGTTGATGTTGGTGGTTGACGTTGTTGTTGGTGCTGATGTTGCGGTGGTTGACGTTGGTGGCTACGCTTGAGAAACAGAGAGGAGAGTGAAAGGGGAGAAGAAATCGAAGAGGAGTGGAACGGGAGAAGAAAACGAAGAGGACAGTGAAAGGGTTCCGAAGAGAACAGAAAAGGAGAGAGTGAGACTAAGAAGAGGAGAGAGAAATGGAGGAGAAGAGAAGAGAAACAGGGAGGAGAGGAGTGAGAAGTCTAAGAGGAGAGGAAAGAGAAAGGGAAGAGAAGAAGAGAGAGGGGGAAATAAGGGAGTGGCGGCTGAGGAGGAAATAAGGGGAAAATAGGGTTATGCTTTTTTTTTTGTTTTTTATTTTTTAATAGTTCCGATGGAAAATCCGTCGGAATGTAGAAATCCGACGGAAAAAATTGGTCGGAAAATTCCGACGGATTTTATTTCCTTAGGAAAATTAATGTTCCGACGGATAAAATCCGTCGGAAATTTCCGACGGATTTTATTTCCGTTGGTAATTTACTGTTCCTACGGAATATTCCGTCGAAACAGCCTAAATTTTCCTACGGATTTTTATTCCGTCGAAAAATTCCGACGGATTTCCTACGGAAAAAAAATCCGTCAAAATTTTTGATTTTTCCGACGGAAATACGTATCAGTCGGAAGCAGTCTGTCGGTATTCGGCCTATTTCTAGTAGTGATGGTCATTACACGAGTCTTGAACATATCACTTTCACTCACGAGTCTTTGCACACACCTTGTACATACCTTTTTCACACTATGACCATGTCTTAGGTCTATGCATGAGTCGTCCTTTCTGTCATTTGAGTTGAGGGTCCATTCTATTTCTTGATTTTTCCATATCTTTCCACAAATACACTCTTTCCCTTTACATCATCACATACCTTACACTCTCCTTCTTATAACACTTTCCACATTCTCTCATCTTACCTGCATTCCCCATACATATCATTCACCTCATACACCTATGCGTGTTGAATCGAGTTTGAATCAAGTAATTAACAATGAGTGTCCATGGTTTCCCTTTCCACAGCGTTTGGTCAAGACGAAAAGGACGTTTAATCAAAGACAATACCTTTATACAAGTACTTCTTTTTGATAGACCACTCCGAAAGGAAAGAAAGATAAGAATGGAAGTTAGTCAAGAAGATTTTGAGAAAGTTCAAGAAACTATGAATGGACTTGCTGAAATGCTCAAAGGACTCACCACTCGAGTCGAAGACCCTAACAAGCAAGTACCAGTCGAAATCTCTAATGACTACAAGTACTTTGGAATTAGTTCCAAAGAGGTCTTAGTGGATAAGGAACTTCTTTCACAAAAGTTTTCTGCCAATGACATCCCTAAGTTCAAGGCCATCGACAATCCTTAATTCCATTTGAGGGCCTTTGAAACAATCATGGAGATCAAGGGAATTGACAAGAAAGTTTTCCCCTCACTTTCTTGAGCTAGTATGCCAACAATGATTCTTCTCCATGCACACCGAGAAGATCGCTACTTGGGAGTCTATTATACATGCTTTTATTGATAGATACAAATGTAATATTCAAGTAGAAACTGATCATAGGGAACTTGAAATGCTTAAACAAAAAGAGAATGAAGGTTTCACTACCTTTTACAATAGGTGGAAGGAAACTCACTAGTGGAAAAACACGCTATTAGCAACTGGCGAAAAGTTGCTTTTAGCAATTGGCGCGTGGGGCTGCTATTGCGAGGGCTACTAATAAGATTATTATTTGCAACTGCGCTTGTTCGTTGCTAATAGTCATTATTCGCAACTGGCGTAGTGCTAGGCTAGCTGCTAATAGTATTTATTCGCAACTGGCATAGTACTAGGCCAGCTGCTAGTAGTGGTTATTTGCAGCTGGCGTAGTACTAGGCGAGCTACTAATAACTGTCTTTTTTTAAAAATAAAAAAAAAAGACTATTAGCAGCTGGCTAAGGACCACGCCAATTGCAAATAGTCATTTCTTTAAATAAAAAAAAAAATTGAAAATTTTCCAAAATAATATACAAACTATATTATATACTAAGATTTATGTTTATTATGAAGTATACATTCATTACAAATTAAAAAATATACAATAACTCAAATTAAAAAAAAAAAAAAAAAAAGATTGGTTGAAACATCTAGATGATGTGATCACATGGCTATCGTCATTTGTAAATATTGCATGATTCACATTAGAAGTATGCCCACGAAATTCCTTCAACGATTTCCCAGACTTCATACCATGACCCCTGAGTTCAATCAATAACACAAAATAGTGAATATATATAAATTCTATAAGACCAATGTGGAGAGCCCATCAAGCTAGACAATAGCAACATAAAAAAATTAGAAAAAAAAAATCTGATTGGAACAGCTAGGGTCAAATATAGGAGAAACCATAAAGAACTCAGAATACAACACAGAACATTAGCAAATTGCAGAATACCAACTAGTCAAAACTACCTAAGATATTAGCCAATTGAATAATAAATGTCGTAAGTCAAGCATGAGATCCAAACCTGGCAGTGCTGTCAAAAGATGTACTCAATATCTGACTTCCATCTCGAGAAAAACAAAGACTTGTAACTCCCATAGAATGAACACGTTCATAGCATCACAAACACTGAGTTGTTCTAATATGCCAAACCTGCAAATAGGTACAAGATCCAGCCACAGTTTATCAGCAATCCCTCCTTCCTTAAACAAGAAGCTAATTAATAAGGTGAATCTAGAAATATTTTCATGCTATAAATCAACATAAGAAGCTTTTTAAGAAGGCAATGTAAGCTCACCAGGGGAGAAATGTAATGAAAAATTAGGCAATGTAAGCTTTCACAGTAAAAGCATGAAATTTATTCCAAATGGGAATATACATTACAATCCAAGCACAATCCATCAGTATTTTATGAAAAGATTATCACTTTTTTAAACATCCCAGAATGATATATGTGACCATTAATTTCGGATAAAAGGTACTAAATATGACAATTGGACACATCATATTAGACCATAAACAGAATTTCCAGAAAACAGTCCACTAGACTACATAGATTATATCTGATCCTTATCTGTTACACCAAGCAACACAGATCACACATTGCGCCCACATTCTAATAAGTAATAACTAACCCTCTGAAACTATCAATGCAACTTTCTCAATTTCACCAAGCTTCTACTATACAAATACCAGCAAATTCAGCAGAATCTCAATGAAAACAGACTTCTAACACTTATCAACCTTAATTACCAACAAATGCTTAATAAAGACAAATTCCAGGCAATGTTGCTGGTAGCGGACTTTATCCTCACGATCATTCACCTGATGGTTTAGACTAGGAGAAAAATTAGGCCTTGATGGACTTCAAAGTGTTGTATCTACAGTTGAGGAGGGCTTAGAGTTTGATCCCTTTGGTTCATTCTTCTCTTCCCTTTTCATATTAGGCTGAAGCAAATGGGCATGGCTTTCATGTATGTAGGACTCAAATTCAGACTTTTTCAGAAAAGACTTGAGGCACTTTGGAGCAGCACAAATAAAGATTCCCTCCATTTATCATTTTAATTGTTTGGACCTTTTGGATTTGTTCATCACATCTGTCACAAATTTTTTTTTTTCAATATATAGGTATAAATTGCCTTTAATTTTTCTCCATCTCAAGCCTCAGCGCCCATTTATTCCTCCTCCCTTCCCCAATGTCTCCAAATGAGCATAAATTAGCACTACCAGAAGAGTATACTCCAAGAGTACATTAGAACAGATACAATAACTAACACAGGAACTAGATAAGACTAGAAACCATTGCCAATAAAGTGCAACGTATGATTGACATCACAAGTTATAAGGAACCCATTAACCTTGGGTAAACACACAGCAGTACTCGTAGAAACATTACAACTTCATCAATTCTCCAATCATTCAGGTAACCGTCTATTCTCTTACTTTTCTTTTTATTTCTTTTGAACTATGGTACCTCGAAAGCACCCGGCACGACCTAGGGTAGTGATCAGTCGGTCACCGGGGACGGCTGAATCTAGGACTAGGAGTGCCGCCTGCCCCTTTCCGGACCAAACTTTGCCCTTTATACATAGCCCGACTGTCTCTGTGTCTGTGCAGAATACGATGGCTCGAACTAAGAGAACTGCCAGGATCACCAACTCTGATGGCTCCTCCTTTTATGTGTCGGCCAGCGAGACATCTGACCAGGCGCCTGATGCTGAAGTCAACCAAAGTGGCTCTGTCGCTGGGAGCTTAGAGGAGGGAGCCAAGGTGTTCCCTACCCACTTCACTGTTGACTTAGCTAGTCGATAATTGACCCCTACTGAAGGAGAGGGGTCGGCCCCCTCTAAGAGAGGGGAGGAGTCGGACTCTTCTGATAGTGAGTCCAGCTCTAGCTCCTCAAGCCGTCATTCCCTGAACTTGGAGGAGAGGCACTCCCGACTGCGTGAGTCAAGACTTTCTCATGCGGTCGCGAAGGGGGACAAATGGTCAGAACCATCCGCCTCTAACAAGGAGTTGAACACTCCTTACTTCTGTCATGTCCCAAAGGGCCGCATCAAGGCCATGAAAAAACAAATTAGACACCTTTCTATCGGACCATGAGATGGGTCCAGATTTTGATTTATTTGTGCCGGATGCTGAGGATGCGGTAGTCTGGCCTGAGACGATCGGTTATAGAGACGCCTGCTTTGGTTGCTATGAGGCAGCCATTAAGGCGGGGCTTCGATTTCCCTTGCATCCGGCTGTTTAGAAAATCCTCGATGGATATGAGGTGGGGTTATGGCAGCTAGCCCCGAATTCTTGGTTTAACATTCTTGGCTATGTGGCCGGATGTGAAATGCACGGGGTGGAGCCAAGTTTTGAGGCGTTCACCCATATGAACTATTTAAGTCGGACCCCCAAAACAAGCGGTACCGGCTGGTACCAGCTAACAAGCCACAAGGGCTACTTGATGACGAGAGGGAAAGAAAATAAATGGAAGGATTGGAGGAACACCTTCTACCTCATCCAAACCTCCGATCCTCTGTTGAACAAGCGGTACAACAGATGGAATAGAAATCTGCCCCTCCTTGCAGGCGATGTTAGCATGCCGCCTGTTCCGCACAAAGAGAGGGAAGAGATCCTTGACCGAGGGCTCTTCAAGGTGAAGACACAATTCAACCCCACTAGCGGGGAACGGGAGTAGGTGCCTTTACACTGTATCCCCAAATTCAGGTGGCTATATGATGAATACTTCCTAGCCGCCTGTGGCCTGAGTAGTCGGGTCTCGAGAGGTAGCCGACACCTTATTTCTTTTTTAAGCAGATGTTGATTTACTCCTCATAACTTTCCTATCTCTCGGTTGTATCTTTTCAACGGAAGCTATGGACAATATTTCTGCTTCCAGGAAGGCGGCAGCCATGCTCAGAGCCGCCGTAATGGGCAATCAAAGGCCCTCAACTGAACCTCCTGCAAAGGAGTCGCCCCAAGTGAGCTTTGACCCTTCAGACTTTGTCTTTTATACATTTGTGTTTATTAATATTAACCATCCATCGTTTTTGCAGGTGGGCACTTCTAAACCCTCCTCCTCCCAGCAACCGGATGCTAAAGCCCGGAAGCAAACGGCTGGGAGCACTCCTAGTTCTTCCAGGAAGCAAGCGACCGAAAAGCAGCCGGTCACCCCCCAATCTGGGGCTAAAATTACTCAAGTCTCTAGGGACAGCCGGCCCCCGAGAGGTACAATCCGGCTCCCTGGTTTATTGATTCGTTCCTTATTTTATTTACTACATCATGCTGATGTTTTGCCGTTTGATGCAGGCGGCTAGCAAGGACCGGGCTTGGTCGAAATGGCCAAGTCCATGGTGACAGCCGTCCCTCTTGAGGAGAGGGACGCGGTCCGGGGAGTCGGCACCCTGGATCTTGACGGCATAATGGGTCTCCTCTCTGAGATATACTTGGTAGGTAATTTTTTTTTTTTTTTTTTTGTCGTTGTTTTCCAAGACGCTTGCTTTTTGTCTTAGTATCTGACGCCTGTTTTCTTTTATAGTCCCTGGTCCGAGTACACGACCTCTGACTTTGACAAGGCAATGTTTCAAATTGCCCAAAATGAAATTTTGACAACTGATATTCTTTATTATCAGGCGCAGGCCACTTTGACGGTCCGCACTGAGTTGGAGGTGGCCAAGAAAAAGAATGCGGAGCTGGAGATAACCATCAAGACCCTCTGAGAGGAGCTAGAGCCACTTAAGCATACTGCGCACCTTAACGAGTCTTTGCTGAAATCAGTAGAGAATCTCAAAGGACAGCTGAAGGTCCAGGAGGCGGCCATCACCAAGGAGCTTACGGCCAAGGATGAGACTGACAAGATGGCTTTGGTTCAATCCATGATGGAAGACCTAGCCAAGATCCAAAAAATGACCTGGTCCCGCCTCTTCCCAAAAGCCAATTATGCCTCATGGGAGAAGAAGTTCTGCGCTTGTACTGAAGAGTACAATAGAAGGATTATGGAGGCGGCGGTTGAGGCGCATGACGCGCAGGAGGCCAGCAAGGAGGAAGAGGTGGTGGTTGCCCTTGACCCAATGGAGGTGGATGCAACCAAGGATTCGGCCCCTAAAGGCGAGTCAACTAAGAAGGGTGCTTCGAAGGACCAAGCGCCCACAGTTGATGTCGATCAGGCGGCCGTTATATCTTCAACTTTTTCTTTGGCCTGCGTGCCGTTTATTTTTGTCTCTTTACCCGGCCAGGGGGCTGGGGTCTATGAATATTTTGCCGGTCTTTATGGCCGGCTGTTTTTTTATATATGAATGCGGCGACCATCTTTCGGTCGTCTTTGCTCATTGGATATCGTTAATGCTTTGTTTTTTGCTAAGTGTAGAGGATCTTTTGTATCCGCTTGTATGTCGTACCGACTGTTTCGGCTAGCCATTTATTTAAAATTTGTAAGCCAAAAATTGCGAATAGGTACAAAGTAACGACTGCCTATGCCCCTGGACGACTGGTTGTCTTGGTTCCAAGTTAGGCGATCAGTCGGACATTTACCCAGTCAGACCCCAAACATATTTTAGGAATACGTTGGGTTTGTTTATCTTTTTCAAGTTAGAAAGGAACAGGCCGCTTATAACTAGCCTGCCTGTTTATTAAGATAGGAATAGTTCTTGAGTCCTTGCTTGCCAAAAAGCAGTCGACCTACGAACCAGATTTTCAAACATGTTTGATTTGAAAAGAAATCATCTTAGCAGGGTCGGGGTACGAGAGCTCTGGTTTGCCTTTAGACAGACGGACTCGTCATACCTTTTGAATCCTTACTAAGTATGAGAGAGTGGCTTATGGGCAATCTTTGAGGTTACCCATTCGTCATCTTTTACGCTTGAGTAGTAGAGGCACCAGGAGGCAGAGGCCGGCTGGTCCTCTTGATTCACCAATTTTTGTTGGCTATTTACTCAAGAGGTACCGGCTGTACTTATCCCAAGTAATACAGACGGTCATCCGACGCGGATGTTAACTGCTAACACTTGTTTGGTTTAGTGTTAAGAGTTATCCTTGTCACAAAAACGGCTACGTGGTCGTCCTTGGGGACAGTCGTCTAGGTGCCGTGTAATTAGTTTATAGAACAATGTTCCACCCAAAAGGGAGCTGCTCTCTGCAACGAATTTCATCCGAATGGATGCCGCCGGACGCCTGCTATGATGTTGGGACAGGTCGTATTAGTTTAAAGATTGGATCAGTTTGCTGGGTGCCTGGTCTGATCATTTGTCCATAGGCCTTAGGTAGTTCATGGCAAACTAAGTATAGTAGAGTAGCCGACTGTATATATATACAGGCGACGTGCCCCTCTTAATTGAATGCGTATTAGAGTGAAATAGAGAGTAGCCGACTGTTCTACCAGTTGGCATGCCCCTCAATTGATAAGAAGATGGAGAGTATCCGGCTGCTAATGGAGCAGGCGGCATGCCCCTCATAATACAAAATAGATGAAGAAAAATAGCAAACTTTTATTAGTAGCTCTTGGCTATTACATCATTCAGAAATAATACTTCTTTAGATTATCTACATTCCAGGTCCGAGGCAAAGTTTGGCCGTCTGGTGTTTCCAGGCGGTAGGTGCCATCCCGAACCTCTTCATAGATTCGGTAGGGTCCTTCCCAGTTAGGAGTTAATTTTCCTGACTCATTAGCCCTACCGACGGCTTCCATCTTTCTTAGTACAAAGTTCCCCACTTTGAGTGGACGCCTGTGCACTCTTTTGTTATATGACCTTGTCATTCTCAGGCGGTAGATTTCATGGCGCAGGGCTGCATTGCCCCTTCGT